TATAAGGATTCTTATACACAGGGCTATTCTTCGGGCTATTCACCCAAAAGAGATAGAGGAAATAACCAAGTGTCTTCAGTTGTGGCAGAGCTTGGGGATGAGAGACGAAACAGGACGAGAAAAGATCTGAGTGAGAAAAATGTATTCGAAGAAGAAACAGACTATTTAATTCAAACTCTCCACATTCGCCGTTTTCGGTTCAGCCACCGAAAAAAACAACGAACCTTACAAAAATGACCAGAAAATTTTATAACAATACCAACACAAAAAATTGTCCTCCATGTTGCTTCATTGTGTGGTTAATGACTCACGCGACAGAGGGTTACCTCCTGACAGACCGAACAGACCGCAGAGGCACTGAGGAAGTCCCAGCAACAGAGACAAGGCCCCTCTCGTCGTACTATTACCCATACTACTTGCTCTACTAGATATTTGAGGAGCGGATTTCGCGCTGCATTTTTCTCCAAACTGAAAGTAAATAGAAGCCGGAGTGTTGCCAGATTGAGAAAAATTGTTGAGAGCTTTGGGGAGACGCTTCCATGCTCATCGGTTTCAGATTTGCTTGTAACACTGATTCATGATCCGGATGCATCTTCCCTGATGACAGACACCGAAGTTAATGACTTCTTAGAGGTCATGATCACGATATGGCTCAAATGGCCTTAGATGACAAAGTGATCCAGAATAAACAGGAAGCAAAAGATGACAATGAGGTACATGTTGTCTCGCGCATGCATTCTTGCAGAAACTGTCACCTGCTATGTCCTGACAATGAAGTGTGTGCAGCCTGCCGGGCCATCATGAATGACGATATTGAGGAACCTTAAATCTAGCTCCTACATTTTATGCCCATCGTCGTATGCAATTTGTTTTTCTATCATGTAATGATAGTAGCACTGAATGTATGTAAATTTTTAATTTGTGTTCATGTTCTTTTGGTTTTATGTTTTTTATGTGTTCATGTTCTTTTAGTTTTACTATACGAGGCAGCAGCGGTGGCCGCAGTAGTAGACTCTTCGGTCTCCTGCGCTGTGCGGGTTCGAGTCCCGTCCCAGCAGAAAATTTTCTCTTGGCTATGGATGTTGTGATTGTCCGTAGGTGGTAGACGGTCTGACTGTCGAACGTGGAGGTACCACCCGGCAGATCTCGTAGGCGGAGCCAGAATGTGTGCATGTTGCATGCACACGTGTTCCCTCGCCAGAGTCCGTGTGGCGTCCCCCTTGCCCCTGTATCCCCCCATAGCCCCACGGTACCCAATGGGTGTTTACGCCTTAGGCCTTCGTGGTAGTTGGAGTATAAAAAAAAGACCCATATACCAAAGAAGATTTCTACTCGTTAAAATTCTATTTAACCTCCGCATTCCGTTTAGCATAGAACAAGTTGCCTGTCAGAAACTACTGCTTTCATTGGTGTTCCGGGGAAATAATACTAATTATGAGTTGGAGTATAACTAGATGCATTAAAAACGCCCAATGTTAGTTTCTACCCGTAAGCATGCATATGGAGGGAGTGGTAGTCTATAAACTACGTCGTAACCGTGAAGAGATATGGAATGAAATCTTAATTAATATTTTAAAAGCATTACTGCCAACAACAATTACACTGCCGAATTCTTCGTACAAGGTGACTTACTTATAATCCTCGCACAACTATGAGATTACAAAGAAAATAACTCATAATTCGAAGCAAAACAGATGACTTGGACAAAGCATTTTTTGATTTAGAAAAGATCATTGCTAGAAAAATAGGATATCACTGAGACGATAGGGATCTCATCTTTTTTAATTCCATAATACCTCACGTCAGAAAACTTCCTTCACTCAACTCAGGAGTCAAGTACTAAGTGTTTTAATGAATGCCAAAATCAACTATCTATAATGACAATTTACCTTCTAGAGTATCTGCTGCTGTTTCCAGCAGCGCGATGTAACGGGCCAAGGTGCACACGTTCATCAAAGGATTACGTCTCCCGTGAAGAAACAGAATTCGCTTCACGTTTTTAATGGGAAACCCCTTTATGGTATGGTCTAATTATAAGCAACTAGAACTCTGTAAAGTGATTTAAACAGATAGGAAATCTAAATATACCAAATTCAACCATATCACTTGTAATAAGTTGTCTTGGTTAAAGAAACAGTTGAACAAGATGGGCGATTTGAGCTCAATTTAATCTTTGTAGAATTAGGGGAGACTCAGTTATGGAAATCATTGAAAGTCAATTGTGGATAACAGAAGAGAAGATAACTAACAAGTTCGCTAATCACGCCCTTGTTGACATGAGGGATGCGTAAAAATTATAAGCAGGATGTGGCTTATTATCTAGTGAAGGATACTATGCACTATTTGTAATCAGGGCGCAGAGATCAAAACTGCACTTGAGACGCTTTGCTCGGAGAATATTCACGGACAAAGTTCATTCCATTTTATGGATTCGTTTAGGAATATGGAAGAATTTAATCCTTTAATGGTATCATCGGGTGAAAATTGACCCAGAGCATCTTTAATTCGTCTCTGATTCGACTCTTTCTCAGTTATGAGGTGGGATCCCGTGACTTCTCATATTCAAATTTGACCCGGCGATACCAGTTGCGTGTACGTTTTGAACTTCTTTCACAATGGATTTTTTCATTATTGACGGATGAACAATACACCAATACACCATAGACGATACCGAGGACGACGCTGTTATCGATCAACCCGAACAAGTTCCTGTGGTCGACCTCGATTGTGACACCGTACAGAGCGGACTCGGACTGTTCTTCAGACTTTCCACTAACATCCGTAGGCTATGATTATAGACAAAATCATGCACAAATGGTCAAATTTGCGCCTGCAAATGGTCGAACCAGACGACATAATATTATTACGTATTTACCTAACCTAACTAAAACCCGTGGCAAGCAATTTGGAAGATAAGTACCTGTCAACTACAGATCTCTTCTCATAACCGATGAAATTATTAGCAAAATTGTGGATTGTACAAATAAGAAATATATCCAGTAAATATGGAAAAACAGCTTCATATATAAATTACACAGATTCGCCGAGATCAAAGCATTTTTTGGCTAGCTCTATTTGACATCAGTTTTCAAATCCAACCATCAAAATGTCGAAGGTTTATTTGCATCAGACTGCACTGGCAGAGACATTTTCCGTGCTACTAGGCCCTAAAGAGGTTCATGTTTTTTGCTAGCCACATAGAGGTTTCATAGTATTTCTAACCAGTGACTCGAGAAAGGCAGATACATTACGCCATACGTGAAATGTTTGAGATATTCATACCGAACTGAGGGAATTGTTATATCATGGGTGAGTCCCTGCAAAGACGAGTTGCTCGTGGGCCGATGTTCTTTCTGAACATACAAGAATACTAAACAGAACAAGTAGGGACTGAAGATGCTATGCCTTTGTGATGCAAATACTCACTACCTGCTCAATGCTTTCGTCTAAACGAACAGAAATATCACCGCACATCACTGGTCACGTCAATAGAATTAGATGTAGAATTGCGCAACAGCCAACTGACCTATGTCGGGAGGAACCGTAAAAATAGAAAAAATACCTCAATATGTAGTTCTAAATAATAAAACACGGCCAGGTACTTCTAAGTTTATGTACACTTGCACTACAACCTTAGTGTCGACGTTCTAAAACCGAAGAAACACGTTCTCGTATTGCAGTATGATAACAAAATAGTAGAAGAATCAAAGAAGCCTGATATGATTCTATATTATTTGTATCACTCCATGAAGGCGGGAGGTGATGCATTAGATCGGAAGTATGTAAATTACAATACAGGTTAAAGAACGAGAAGATGGCCTTGTACTATTTGGTATCCTATTATGCATACAGCTTCTGTAAATTCCTTTGTTTTGTTCCGGTCTGGGACTGGAATTCTATTAGGCGACGAAATTTTATTGTTCCCTGAGGCAAACTCTAATTGAACTTCATCTGAGACGACGTTTATCGGAACCAAGACTACCTAGGGAGCTTCGTTCAGCCATGCAAAGAAGCCGTCGACTTCTCAGCCCAGAGTTCTTGATCCTTGCAGTTGTTAAAGTAAAAAATGACGTAGGTGTTACATGAGCCCGTCTCACAACGACAATAAATGTTCTACAATCTGTAATAAGTATGTAAGTGTTTTTTTGTAGTAGAATATGAAGACCAAATATGTGTTAAATGGCATATGTTAACTTTATAAGTTCATATTACAGTTGAAATTTCGTAAATTATACTGCATTACTCATCTTCAGATGCGTATTTTCGTTTTTGGACAATAAACAGTTTTCATGTAAGAGTGTTTTATGAGTACAAACCTGTTATATACATGGCTAAAAACTGTTTATTTCAGCATTAAATACGGTAATAATCAACAATTTCAGTTTCCAATTCACAAAAAGGAAGAATTATGAAGACGATTTATGTTAGGCACTAGGTAGTTCTAGAAGTATCGCATTGCACTTAGGACGGTATTGTCAATACTGCATTTTTGAAGTTGAAAAATCGGGAGCTGAAGAATATGGATCTATAGATTTGTGAGAATTTGCTGCCGGTTTTGTTTTGTTTTGTATGCCCACGGATGGACCATCACTCACTTCATTCGGGCTGATTCCTTTAACTTATTTTTGTAATAACAATAACTGTCTGTATGAAATTTAACAACTCTCTTTCTACTTCTCTAGTGGACTGTTGGTTGTTTGTTTGAGTATCCTTGAAGGAAAGAACTAATTTGTATTCTCCAACATAACTAACAGACCATGACCTTTTTCAAGGTTTTTTTTATAGTTTGTTATTAGATGTCAATTCCGTAGACATTTTACTTCGCACCCTCACGGCCAAACTGTTGCGTCTTATATTATTCAGATCCATAAATGCACATCACGTGCAGCATTTTAGTCGAAGATTACATAACAACTAACCAATGTGTTAGGAATACAGTTCTGGTTTTGTCTTCACGTTTTCGTTGGACTTGGCATGTTCGGGACGATGGGGGAGTGTGACGTGACTGGTACATTGAAAACGACCTTATGCTCGCTTATCGATTTAGAAAGCTGGACGTTCTTTTGGGGACGGGAATGCCTAACCCAAGCAGTCCTGGGCTCAGCTAGTTTTGCGCAGAACCATCCTAAAATTACAATGATTGCTTCGCGGAATCTTAGCATGTTACAGGACCTTTCGGACTATTGTAATAGAACAAACACACTGTAAAGTAATGTGAAACTGGAAAAAAGATTAATAAAATATACTGCCAATAAATTTCAATTAAAGTCGATGATGGTCACCGTTGGAACCGAATGGTTGTCCAAGAAAGAATTTTACATATGTGTCGTTTTGATTGGCCAGACAATCATATTCAAGATATATTGTCTCTCGAAAATGCACTACCAGGACACGCAATGAAACCGGTAACACCACCTATAGGTTGTTCCATATATAACATATGAAGTTTTTGGTAGATGAGGTCGAAAACATTGAACAACCATTCAAATATCGGCTGCTGATTTCATCTCTTCAGGCAGTAAATCAACTTACACCTACAGACAATACTTTATAATAATTCAAGGTCTTCATCTTTGTCTAGTTTGGTGCGAAGGTGTCGCACCGACAAATTCAAAAACTTCTGTTTCGATGTGAGCCTTAAGGTGATATGTTACGGTGACGAAATCTTTGCCGCCTTGAGCACTAACTTCGCGGACACCATATCTGTAACAAGAAAAGAAATTTAATAGGAAATAAGAGAAAGCTGAAATAGAAAATCAAAACAATATTTCTTTACTTTCTGATTACAATAAAACGTAATTGCTTTGGCATAAGACATACACACAATCAGAAATTCAACACAAACACCAACGAATATATAACCATTGTCTGATGAATGAAACACAAAACAGAAGTAGTATAATGTAAACAATTAACTACTGGAATAGCTGCTTCGTTACAACCAGCCATGCCTTGTTTGGAAAGGTTTCTTGGTCATCAGAAAAGACAAAAGTTGATGGTGTGTTGTGGCCTATATTTTCTTTTTGTTTTTGTAGATCACTTCACTGCATCTCCATATGAGATACTTTCCACTGTATCTATTCTTGAATTACTAGAGAATTTGCGCACGCTTCTCAAGTTGTTTCACCCAGAAACATTTCTTATCTTATACGCGGACGTATATCCTGTCGAAAATTCGACATTGGGATTATAGCAAAAATTGGTAGCACTGACCACACACAGTGATTACCTCATGGCCATCACCGCCTGGTACTAGTGAAGTGGAGATAAATGGAAAAAACAAACGCAGGGACACTTGGAAGACAGATAAAATATACTGTCAATAAATTTCATTAAACTAGATGAAGTTCACCCTTGGGACCGAAACGTCGTCCTATAAAAAATTTTAAGCAAATGCACAACCAGTAAAAGCAATGAAACCCGCAGTCTCACCTGCAGATGGTCCCAAATATAACATACGAAGTTTTTGGTAGATGAGGTCGAACAACTTGAACTATCATTCGAATATCGGCAGTTGATTCCATATCCTCATATACAGGCAATGCTTACTAATATTTCAGTCTTCCTCTGTCCAATTTGGTGCGAAGGTATTTCACTGACAAATTCTCAAACTCGTGCTTCAATGTGGCAGCTCCAGAGTAATAAATTACGGTGACGAAAACTTTATCTGTAACAAGAAATAACATTTAATCGAAAATAAGAGAAAGCTCAAATAGAAAATCAAAACATATTATCTTTACTTTCTGATTACAATAAAACGAAATCGCATTGGCATAACACATACACACAAACATAAGATCATTACACATACGAAATATAACAATTGTCAATTGTCTGTTGGTTTGTTCGTGCAGCCTGTTTGCTGACGATCAGCAAACTGATAGTCTCTGACTGTATAGATTCCGTACAAGAGAACGTTACGAGTTGGCTGAGGGAGCTAAGACTGATTACCGACAACTATTCCGCTGTTCGTACAGAAACTTCTGACTGTTTGATGACTGTCAAATTAGTCAGCACATAATTTGCCATTAAATTGTCAGAGCTCGAAATCAAGTACAATAATTATTATTCGAGTGTACATTTTTTTCACAATGAAGTAGACAATTTTGGAAAAGTTGGAGTATGTTCACTTGCTGTAAATCATAATGATCTAGGATTTATCGTCCAACTGCCCGAATGTGCCCGAATTTTCCTGTAGAGAGGAAAACATGGGACACTTTCTAGAAAAAATAACAGCACTCAAAAATCTCAAGTAGATTTAGTAGTAGTAGAAAGTATAACAATAAATTCGAATATGATTCGACGCATCGAATGACAACTTGAAGAAGGAATAGTAAGAATTTTAAATAAACGTCTACAGTGATGCGTGAGAAATGTACAAAGTATTGTGAATAACTTTTAGTGAAACTCGGATAGTAGTGTTTTTGTTCCTGTTCCGTTGTCGCCCAGTCTTCAAGCGTATGCACAAACAGTATTTATATATTATAGCTGCGCAAGTCCAGCCCAAAGCTGATGAAAAGAAAAACAAAATAACGAATACTGGAGATTTTGTGATACAGCTTTCTTTCACGGGCGCCAACGGAGAGGGAGTGCTGGGGTGAAAAAAATATTTGTCTATATAGGGTATTTAAATTCGACCCTCACCATTGGGATGTCGGAAACTCTAAGTGATACTAAGTCGCTAAAATAGGTGCAAAGTTGCGTATTCAGATAATCAGCAAAATGTCGCTTAGGTTTTGAAATTAATCGTACTTCCGGAAAGAGTCGTAAAAAACTAAATTTTCCAAAATGGTTTTAATCTTCTGACTTTATTTGTGGTGAAATTTCAAACTAAGTTGCACATCAGCTCTTCCACATTTTCTCCTCTTCAAGACAGAGCAATTATCATTACCTTAATTTTTTCTTGTAGACGACATATGGATTTTTACACACATGGATAGAATTTTTATTCAGATTTCACAAATGTAAAATATGTTATACGTTGACATTGCAAAACCTTAGTTATTCCAGAAGTTCCTAGGTAGGCTTTGAAATTATCAGATTTCATTTAGGGTTATTATTGTTATATTACCATCAATAAAATTTTCATTTCGTGTTCAGATTTCACCATATCTTTTCAATTCCTTATAATTTTCATTCAACAATAAATTTATGGTCAACTAACGAAATACATCACTGAATTTGGAGCTGAAAAGTCCATTTAAATGTACAAAATTCCAATATAGCGTCCGTTTGAAAAAGCAAAGTTGATGATGGAAGTCTCAAATAAAGTCAGGAAAAAAATAAAGCCATTTTGGTGAGCGAAACAAATATCTGATAATTTCAAGTCCTACCTAAGAAATTCTTTTTTTAAGTAATCAAGGTTTGGCAACGTCTATGCATTTTTTTGGATCAAAATTAAAAACTCTGTCCTAAAGAGATAATAAAGGTGATGCTGGAGGTCAAGAGACGAACCGTCATATAAAAACTCTGATTATGCTTTCTTGAAGAGGAGAAAACGTGGCAATGTTAATGTGTAATTTATTTAAAGATCCCAATATAAATAGTCAGGAAAAAATCAAAACGATTTTGGGAAAATTCAGTTTTTCCGTCACTCTGCGGAAGTACTTCGAATTTTTAAACTTTCTAAGTGTCATTTCGTTGACTACCCCCATTTAGTTGACTTCGTATCTCTCACAGTTTCCAAGATCCCGATGGTGAGCGCCGAATTTGAATTGCCTTGTATATGCAGACTCTCACTAGAAGAAAGAAGCAAAAATAGTACAAGGATTTAATAACGTCTTTGAATAACAAAGGGTGCTGCTATACACTAAAAAGCTAAAACGGCTCAACATAACTACAATAAAATTAACCAGATCTGCTTACATAGCTATATGTTTCACAGTGTTCTCAACATGGACAAGAAGAACTGAGACTACGAAATTACATACTTAAATCGCGTAATTTCGCATTTTGCAACTGTAACAAAATTTTTCAAAAGATTAGTGATAAAAATTATCAATTATTCAAAGTTAGGTCCACTATTGTTCGGATGTTTCATGCTGTATTCATAATCTTCATTTTCCCATTACCGGGTCAATAAACAAAATATTTTATCTGCCACTTGCTCACCCGAAAGTTGCTGTTGAATTGTGGCACTGTTCTCCACAAAATTCAGGTTTTTGGGTTTCTTTCTCTCCTTCAGTAGATCCTCAAGGTCTTCATGTTCTGGGTGTATCGCTCAGTTTTTTTACACCGAAGCAGTCGCGCAGTGAAGCCTATATGGCATTGTACCGCGGCTGCTTTGAGGAGTTTAAAGAAAGTTTGTTATTTCCATTTTTGAATTGCCTAAAGTTAGTAGAACTGGGAAAAGCTCCTAATGTATTGTTACACATTCTTGACACTCTCGGGACAAAGGAGCGGTCTTATCGGTCAGTTCTAGGTGTACGAAGTTCGACACGGTTACGATGGGAGGCCAAAGACAGGCAGGCACATGGCGCGGCGACACCATGGGAGAGAGCTCTGAGGAGCAAATCCGGTTGGCGTAGCTAGATCTCCAACGGCCCGTCGATGTGAAGGTATCCCAGACCCTCAACTACAGAAGAGTAATCGATCATTAAATGCCTTTTGCGAAGCAATTTTAGTCCTCAAGATAGTTTCGACACACACTCTGATATCTGTCACTGGTTGACTGGTGTCCTCTGATCTGTTAGAAGGTTATGTACGAACAGCGGATTAGCAGTTGGCAAACAGTCAGAAACTGTACGAACAGGTAATGATTCTGATTTTGATAGTCACGGACGAGTTACCGACTACTGTACGAACAAACCGTACAGCATTTTCTCTTAGAAAAATGCTACAAAATTATCTGATAAATGTATCACAAAACAGAAGTAATATAAAGTAAACAATTATTTACTGGAATAGCTGCTTCATTACAACCACCCAAGCCTTGTTTGGAAAGTTGATGGTGTGTGTTCTTGTAGATCACTTGGCTGTCACTTGATCTGAGATACTTTCCACTGAGTGTGCTTGAGTTAATACAGTTAATACGTTTCTCAAGTTGTTCCACCAAGAAACATTTCATATCATACATCATTACCTACTAGCCATCACCCAAACTCATACACAGCCTGTTGCCATCTACACATCAAATGAGCAATTCAATTAAGTTCATGCAAATTAGTTAGAAAATATTGAAAATAATTGATAAGAAACAATGTATATGTTATGAATTTTTGATAAAGGCATTTTATTTGCTGCTTATACTCGTAAAATATAAGGATATGTGTGTAAGAGTACTAATAAACACTCGAATAAACATTAATCTCAGAATGTTGTTGTCGATGTTTTACGGCGATATGTTGCTCCTGAAGTATCTCTTTACAATACCCAGCAATAATCAGCAAGCAAATTGACACTCCATTTGACTTGATACCGTTTTTCCTTAGCAGAAATGTCTTGGTGAATTTTTAGAGACATGCTACATTTTATTCCGTTATAAGCATTAATTAATTCATTCACAATATCTTTATAATTGTTCGCCTTCACGTTGCCTAAAATATTTGCAGTAACTAATTTAAAAGCATTCCAAGCTCGTAATTCAGTTTCATTTAGAGCACTGTCAAATATATCATCCTTCATGATTTTCCGTATTTGTGGACCCACAAATATGCCCTCTTTAATTATTGCCTAACTAAGTCTCGGAAATGTTTGTTTTAAATGCAGAAACCCTCTTCCATTTGGATCCATAGCTTTCACAAAAATTTTAAGAAGTCCCAACTTAATATTCAACTCGTTTTTGGGATCAACTAGTGATTCATCAGCAATGTTTCTGGGGCCCGGAGTTAATACCTGCCGTAGTGGCCACTCCTTCTGTTCATAATGACGACCTCGCGCACGACCGTCCCATTCACAAAGAACACAACAATATTTGGTTAGCAGAAGGGATATTACCTTTAAATCTGCACATATGGCCCATCCATATTCATTATAACGGATATGCTCTAACAGAACTCGCACATTTTCATATGATTCTACCGCTTTTAAACTAAGCTTAGAGGAATCAATGAACAGGCGCCAATCATTTGGATAATGTTTCTGTCCTAACGCGTCAAACAAATTGTTGACATCGGAGCAATATATCAATCAACTCCCTTTCTTGTTGCCGTTTTCGGTAAAAAGTAATGTTAACATCACCGTGAAGAAGAATCCATCCTTTTAATCTTGACGCTAAAAGTTCCGATTGGGATTTTAACAGATTTAATTTTCGAACTAAATGATTAACTTCGCCCTGTGTGATCAAATGCGGCGCTGTTGAACATCCTAGCAGGTCAAACGGAGGTTCAGAAATTTGTACGCTTTCTGTACCATCACTTTCAGAATCGGTGGATTCGACTTTTTCATCCAAAGACCAAGATTCTGGTGGAACTGGGACAGAAAGTTCATCACTATGCTTAACGGGCCGCAAAGCTGATGGTAAATTAAAATACTTAACAGTATGTTTCGATTTTGGTTCAATACATTTAATAATTGTGAGGCAAAAATAGCAATCAGTAGTATGGTCTCGGTTATCTCCAAACCATTGGTACCGCAAAGGGCATTTTACGATTGTCGCCTCTTAACCAATCTGTTAACAACGTTACACAAGTCTTGCAACATATGTGAGAAGCCCATAGTTTATCTTGGTCGCCAACTTCAATTACAAAATAAGCTTCGAATGCTTTCAACACAAGGGGACTAAAAGCACGATTTTGCGATTTAAAAGCTAGCTCTCCGCACACATAACAAAAACTGTTCGCACTATTTACACAATTTCTAGGCATTGTCCATAAAGCTAGTCTCGATCACAATAAACGAAAAACAACACACACCGTTTCAACAAAAATTAACAGTACTCCGAACATCTCAGTACTTTCAATACAGAAAACGTAACTGACTTGGCTGCTATTAGTCTACTACTGCTCTCTGAACACAGAGCTCGCATATAATAAACAGGAATAGACAGGTCATCGCATAAACGCCGAGAAATACGGTAATATGAGATGTTACGCATTGTAATTCATAAAAGTAGATATTACTAAATATCTGTGGGTGATAGAAAATATCTGTTTTTAGATTTGATTTAAGGGTCTCAAAATACATAAGATATAAGTACCCAAAAATTGTCATGTCACAAATCCTGTATTTGAACATTAATTAAAGAAGTGGATATCAGATCGTTGCAAACATGCAAACACCAACAGCACTGATTACACATTGATAACCTCTGTGACCTGTCGAAGATGTTGACTTCATCACTTGAACGTAAAAAATATATTTTTGCATTTTTAACCTAGTCCTAAAAAAAGTTACAACAGGGTTGCTGGCGAACAAACCCATTAATTTAACTATGATAAGTGAGATTTTTTTAAAAAAAGTAGTGAGAACAAGTGAGATATTTTTCTGAGAAAATTAATATCAATGCTAAATTTAAACGGATAATATAAATAGAAATGTTCGAAAAAACTACAATAACTCTTATAAGGTCTTTGTTACTACTTCACTGACAGAAGCAAAGATTATTATTTATATGTATGGGTATTTCAAGATCAAATGAATACGATGCAAATTTTGTGAATACGGGATACGTACTTGTATCTACTAAGTATTCTTGCGCAATTGATTGAACTTACATTTTAGCGAACTATCTAATGTGAGCAAATTTAAACTTGAAATGGTTATTATAGATGACTGTTTTTTACACAATAGTTAACTAATTTAATCATCAGACCGTAAGACTAGAGTCAAGGGAGGCCAGTGGCGGATTTAGAGGGGCGCCCCACTAGAAGTCTGACACTAGCTTTTGTAATCTAACACCACTGTGTTACCTTCTGACACATCATGGCGACAGAGGCATACTAATTATAAGTTATGAACTGAGCCTCTTTAATATCATTGTTTACAGCACAATCGTTACGATTTACACGTATATACGAGTATTGTGACTTGTGAAACATCTAAGTCTGGGTAATATATTAGATATACAGATTGCACTTAAAACGTGATTTATGTTCAGTTTGTTGCTCAATAGTAATTTGAAAAGTGTGTAAAGATTGACTGATTTTGTTCGGAGTTGGTGTTGTAGCGAAACACTATGTTAGGTGAACGCCTACATTGGAAATAGACATTTATGACATTTGTTTAGCGATGCGCCTGTGGCCTGTCCAGAAACTGCGTTGATCGATGCTCAAAGTCAATACCACACGTCCCGCATATCTCCCGCGCATGTGTCTATTTATGTTGCTAAATCTAACTTCGACAACGAAAGTCTGAAAAATAACTGTAACATCTATAATGAATGTTCAAAAGCCCCAACCCCGTGGCAAATGTTTGTTCCGGAAGTTGTTGTACCCAGTATACAACTTTTTCCCGTTCAAGTGATTGTTCACGCCATAAGGAATCCCGCAGTACCGACTGCCGGGTGGCGGATGTCTTATAAATGTCCGCATGTTTCCAAACCTGAAGCTATGCAGTCGGTTATCTTCCAAAACAAAGAAATCAATGATGATAGATCCCTCGAATGCTAAGAATTCCGGACGTAAACTCACTCCACTCCCGGAAATGTCCGGGTGGAGGGTAGACTCGAGAGAATAAAATCGAAGATAAAATTTGTTTCACGAATATCTGCGGGATTAACTCCGCCATGCTTTTCTTGGCGGAGTCAAGCATCTCAGAGTCCGCACCAAATTACGAAATGCACTCCAATCTAAGAAAGAACGGTGGAGTTGTGGCCTTTGTCCGCAGCAGTCTTTCCTACTAAAATCAGACCGGAAGGACATTCTGCGGCTTCGCCTCAATTACAAAACATCCCCCAAATGTATTTACTGCCTTTATCGCTCTTCATCGGACCATAACTGGGATGACCTTCTTAAATGCCTCGCCGTCAAGATCCTGAACATCAATCACCCTGCTTCAGAGGTAGTTCTCCTCGGTGACTTCAATGACCATAATTTGCTTTGGTTGGGCTCAAACAAGACCGATGCAGCAGGTCGTGCAGTTGAAGCGTTCGCTCTTACTCAATGGTTGACCCCCTTCTTGTTTCACCCCCGTCTCGTCATATGCCAGTAGCCCGCTGGATCTCCTTCTGACCACGCACCCTGTGTGACCCACATCACGGTTTTGTGGAGGTTAGGTTTCGGCCATAACCCGATGTGGCAGCAGAAACTCGGCCAGGCCCCAAAAACTGGCATTATGGAGATGCCGACTGGGAGGGGCTTAGCAACTTCTTCTCTACCTCTCCTTGGGGAGACGTCAGTTTCACTGACGCGGGTGCGTTGACTGTCTGTTCTTCGATAACAGAAATTATCTACGTCGGAATGGAGGAATACATCCCTCATACAGTGAAAGTTCCTAAACCAATGTTCAACGGCTGTTTTAACGAATCCTGACACTGCTCGCCAGCAGAAGATCAACGCACACAAAACCTTCTTATAAAACTCCACTGTAAAGAACAGACTAGCCGACGTCGAGTCCAGAAACACATATAACGAACCGGTTCCCAATGCCAAAAAACAACACGATATAAGAGTTAGCCACAGGGTAATGTCACAGCGCAATAGCAGACAGTCTTTCTGGATTCTGGCCAATCAGATTGAGAAGAACTTCTAACACAGTAGCCTTCCACCACTTACGTGTCAGGATAGAACGATGGTATCGGACTCAAACGCCAACGCGGAAGTGCTTGCCAAGATCTTTGCTGCCAACTCCACCAACGCCCAAGTACGGTCAATTCAAAGGGTTCCCTACACTATGCGGGAGGTAACATTCAGGCATAAGACCGTAAGACGGGTGCTCTTGTCTCTCGACATCAACAAAGCTTCTGGTCCGGACTTAATTCCTGCCACTGTACTGAAGAGGTTTGCAGCGGAGCTTGCCCCAGTTCTTTCGCGTCTCTTCCAGATATCTTATGTATCTGGCTCTTTCCCAGAAAACTGGAAATTCGTTCATGTCTAACCCATCCCAAAAAAGGGATATAAGACCGGCCCTTACAACTACAGGCCTATAGCTCTGCTTTCTGTTATAAGTAAGGTGGTGGAGAGGGGCCTAAATCGCGAGCTTCTGGACTACCTCGAACGTCACAGCTTGATTAGCGACATGCAGTATGGTTTCCGGCATCAGCGATCCACAGGGAACCTCCTAGCTTACGTCACGCAATTGTGGAGTAAACTC